TAGTCTTGTTTTGAGAGCAGCTTTGGCTGCAGAGCAATATTGAACAGAAAGTACAGATTGTTGCTGTTTGTAGACTCAGACTCACCCAAGCCTGCATCCACACCAAAGCGGTGCACTGCATACAACAGACGAGCCTGTGCTGACAGAGTTGTCTACCACAGTGCGTGGTTATACCAAGGCTGCCTCTTTGTCTTGTGCATCCATGAGTTTGGACAGACGTGCATGTCCCGTGCCAGCATCACAGTGTAGTCTCACTACCTTGGAAATGCTTTTTGCTCTGTGTCCCCCAGCGCCTGATAAACACCTATCCATTTTCTTTCTCCGTGGTTTGCCTTCCAGAATGTTGTATAGTTGGGGTCATACAGTATTTTTTGTATCAACCTATATGTCTTAGTAATTTACTTCTTTGTGGATGATAGCTGATGTCTTTGCTTGTGGCTTTTTGAGGCAGGGTCTCATGTAGCCTAGTCTGGACCAGAGCTCACTATGTAGTGGAGGCTAGCCCTGAACTCCTCCTGACCTTTCTGCTTCCATGTCTCTTGCCTTTTTATTTACTTGTTTGTTTGTTTGTTTGTTTACTTTTGAGGCAGGGTCTCACTGTGTAGCTCTGGCTGTTCTGGAACTCCCCGGGTGGCCTTGAATTCACAGAGATCCTTCTGTCTACAAGTGCTGGGATTAAAGGCATGCTTCTGCCTCCACTCCTCAGATGCTGAGATTGTAGACATGCACCACCATACCTAGTGCCTGTTTCTTTGTACAATGTTCTAAACTATGGTAAATAAATGAACCACACAGTTCATTCTTTTACCTCTTAGAAGATATCTTGGTGACTTCCAAGGCCTGGCACGTGGATAAAGCCTCTCTCAATGTTAACGTCCAGGCTTCTGAGGGAACATCAAGAGTGGGATTGCTGGCCAGCTGATATGAAGAGTGTTTTGTGAGAAGCTGCCATGAATTAATTATCCATTAGTCGAGATAATTTTTATTTTTAATAGCGACCTAGTGTTTCATTGTAAATTTACACAAGAGTTTGACTAATACCCAAACTTTTCATTTTTCCTTTTAAATCTTGGTACACCTTTCTCATTGTTTCTTTAGAATAAAGCCCCTCAGACTGGAATTGCTACGTTGAATGAAGGAGTCACGACGTTGTGGTGAACATTAGCAGTTGTTTCTACCCAAGGCCGTGCTGCTAATCTGCGCCTATGCCGTCCGTCAGGCATCAGGCTTGGCTGTGTGTGGGAGCCCACGGAGGTTTCCGAGTGAGATCTGAGCTTGCTTTACCCAGCAGGACTGCATAGGGGATGCACTGACCATGTGTGTGGTTACCAGGTGTTTGGAAGGGTCTGGATTTGGCTGTGCTAGGGGAAGGTCTTTTGCACCCCCCCTTGGCATTCCTTTCAGAAGCCCTTTAGAAGAGACAGAAGGGGCTGGTGGATAGGATCCAGGCCCTCCCGAGGCTGTCCAGTGTTTCTGTCTGTCTCTCTCTCCTCTATATTTCTATCTAAATCTCTTATCCCTGTCTCCTCAAGAGTACCCTGGGGAAAAAAGTGGGAACAGGTCTGCCACAGCTGTGACCGCTGCTCCCAGGCTCCTGGGAACACTGTCCCCATCCTAGGGTGCTGAAACAAAGAGCCGCAGACCTTATTCCTTCACAGACCTGGAGGCCAGTGTGACATCCAAGTGTCAGCAGGGCCGGGGGGCTCCCTCTGCAGGCTGTAGAGAAGAACCCCCGCAACACACACACACACCACACACCCCCATTGCCTCTTGGCTTCTAGCAACTGCTGACAGTTCTTGGAGTTGGCCTTCGGCTGGATGACTCTCCAGTCTCTGCCTCTGCTACCATCGCTTTTCCCCATATCTGGGTCCTCTCCTCCTATAAAGATGTGGTCACTGGGTTTAGGATACGCTCTCATCTAGTCTGACCTCACCTTCATTCGATCGTTCCTGTTCTCCACAGGAGTATGTTCCAGGCCTCCTGCTTGCATTGAGGCTAGTACCTGAAGGGTTAAATAAGCAAAGAGCCATAGGGGAGTGGAGAAACTCCTGACAGAGAGGTCAACTTATCAATAAGAACATCCTCAGCCCCCACAGCAGGAAATAGATCCACAGATGGGACTTTCTACCCCCACCTCTGCTGTGGATATCACTCTGTATAAATAAAATGCTGATTGCTCAGTAGCCGGGCAGGAAGTATAGGCGGGACAAGCAGAAGAGAGAATTCTGGGAAGTGGAAGGCTGAGGCAGAGAAACGCTGCCAGCCGCCGCCATGAGAAGATGTTAAGATACTGGTAAGCCATGAGCCATGTGGCAACTTATAGATTAATAGAAATGGGTTGATTTAAGATATAAGAACAGTTAGCAAGAAGCCGGCCACAGCCATACAGTGTACACATGATATAAGTCTCTGTGTGTTTACTTGGTTGGGTCTGAGCAGCTGCAGGCCTGGCGGGTGAGAGAGATTTGTCCTGACCATGGACCAGGCAGGACCAGGAAAACTCTAGCTACACACCTCCACCCCCAAAAAGTCCCTTCTCTGCCCTATAAACTCACAGGCCCACTGCGCTTCTGTCACAATCTCCACTCCAGAGGAGAGACGGCTGCCCTTCATTGTTCTGGTCCACACCACTGACCAATCCAAACCCGACAGTTCCACACCCTCTACAGTTGCCATGCTCTGTGACCAGCATGTTTGTGCTTTGATGAGCAACAGCAAAACTGTTGGAGTTTTTACTTCCTGGTTTCATGGCTATCAAGTAAGCTCTCTCCCAGCACTCGGGAGGCAGAGGCAGTGGATCTCTTTGAGTTCAAGGCCAACCTGGTCTATGCAGTAGTTCCAGGACAGCCAGGGCTATGTAGAGAGTCCCTGTCTAAAAAAAAAAAAAAAGAAAAGAAAAAAAGAAAAAGAAAAAGGAAAAAGGAAAAAAAAAGAAACAAACAAACAAAACAAAAAAGAAAGAAAGAAAGGAAACTGATTCTCCCTAGAAGGCTTAGCAAACTTGAATTTTAATTCCTTATTGTTCATTTGAGAGAGGCACTTGTTCACTTAAAGGAAGCGTTGGTCATATCCAACTCACCAGTATGGGACTGTTAAGTGACATAAGGATATCTACCTTAATTAGCAAGCTACCATGACAGGTATTGACTGCTACTGTTGTTGCTCACTGACTAACAGGTGGGGAGCATCCACACCATAGATACACTGGTCAGAGGGAAGATTTTCATGTCCTAGATGGGATGGAGCACCATGGTCAAGATTTCAGCGCACAGCTGGGCGTGATAGCCGACTTCTTTAATCCCAGCACTCAAGAGGCAGCTTGGTCTACATAGTGAGTTCCAGGACAGCCGGAGTTTATGTAGAGAGACCATGTCTCAAAAAAAAAAAAGGTGATTTCAACACACTACTCAGAACAGCATAGAGCATGGCAGTTAAAAATTATTTATTTCTAGACTCTTCCTTTTAATGTTTTCTGACCACTGTTGAAAGTACAGAGGGGACTGGAGAGATGGCTCAGTGGTTAAGAGTACTTAACTGATCTTCCAGAGGTCCTGCGTTCAATTCCCAGAACCACATGGTGGCTCACAGCCATTTGTAATTGGATCAGATTCCTTCTTCTGGTATATACATGAAATGCATGAATAAATAAAATTTAAAAAAGAAAGTTCAGAGAAGAGAGCTGTAAGCAGAAAGGGGCATGACTATTGTAATCTCAACCACAGAACCCCTCTTTGTAAATAGTCAAGTTCAGAAGTTTTAGGTAGACATGAACCTAAGGGAATATTAGTCAACCCACCACAATCACCTTAAAGCTTTTTTTTCTAATCAGATGGGTGTTGCACAAATCCTAAATGGTCTTATAATAAAAACCCAGAGCCAGATATTGGGGTAAATGCTCAAAGATCAGAGAAAACAAGCCACAGCCACTTCTCACCTCGCCAACTCCACAGATCCTCAGACTGAATGCCCCTGAGTCCTCAGCTGAAAGCTCTAGTTCCTGTCTCCTCACACCTTGCATGCCTTTCTCCGCCCAGCCATCTTCCTTCCTTCCTAGTGCTGGGATTCAAGGCCTGTGTGCTTCCCAAATACTGGTAGCAAAGGCGTGAGATCTCAAGTGCTGGCATTAAAGGAGTGTGCCACCACTGCCCAGCTCTGTTTCTCTCCTAGACTGAATCAATCTCATGTGTAGTCCATGGAGATCCAGACAGATCTCTGCCTCCCGAGTGCTAGGATTAAAGGTGTGCGCTGCCACTGCTTGACCTCTGTGTTGAACTTAGTGGCTGGCTCTGTCCTCTGATCCTCAGGCAAGCTTTATTTGATACACAATGTATCACCACAGATGGGGAAAAGCATCTGGATTTTCTTTCCATTTTAATTTCAGTAATTACCAGAGACACTAAAATCCTTTGGTAGAGTCATTCCCACATGTTTCTGATTCTGTTTCTGTTGATGAAGAGGTTAGGGATTTAATGTTCTCTTCCTCAGACATACTGCAAATGACTCACGAGCAGGTCCCCCTCGGCTCCCTCCTGTAATCATCTTGGAAAGCTGATCATTTCTCCCTACCTTCTTGGCAGCGGGCCTGTTCCAAGCCCTCTTGGTTCATGTGCACATCTTCCCCCTGAAACACTGACAGACTTTGTGGTGGGACCCCACCCTCTTACATTAAAAAAAGTGCAGAGAGAAGAGGGGATTTAGAAGAAACCTTTGCACACTATCTACATCCTGCATCCTTAGACATGAAGGAGGTGGTGGCTGGGTGGGCTGGAGGGGTGGAGGCAGGGCCCTTGCTTCTTAAACGCCCACATCCACTTTGAACAGGATCGTGGGTGTGAGCTGAGTGTCCAGGGAGCCACAGGCCTGGGTGAGATGGCAGCGGGCAGTGAAGAGCAGTGGGCAGTGAGGAGCACGGGGCAGCCGAGGACTCAGTTAAGGATGCGGCCGACGTGCTTGGCACCACAGTTGCTGGGCAGCTTGTGGCTGGCATCCCTGCCTCTGCCTGTGCTCCTAGTCTCAGTAGCCAAGCCACCCTTTTCAAATGTAAATCCAATTCTCTCACTCTAGCTCGGCATCCTTCAGTGGGATTAGAACAGAACCCAGAACCCTAACTGTGGCCTCTAGGCCTCCCAGCCTCCTTTGCCCTCTGCCGCTCCCCCCTCTATCTCCTGAGCCAGGCCTGTGGGCACGGGAGCCTAATTCCACCCCTGCAGAATCAGTTTGAGTTGTTTTAGGCTTCAGGTCTGGGTCCAGGAGGTCAGAGAACCGGACACTCTACTTCTGCATTCTGCAGCTCCCCATTTTGCTTGAGTGTGACGTTTTTGTCTTCAGATTCCCTACCCCTGTCTTTATTGGGATTTTTTTTTTTTAAAGTAATTTTCCTGGGAAGAATTCCTCATTACTTTGATCCACTTAGACGGCTGTTTATCACAAGAAGTTTTAACTCAGTTTCTTCAAAACAAGGATAAATAACTTGAAAGATGTAAGGGAATATTTCTTTGATTTAAAAATAGAAAAGATTCTGAAACTTAGTAAGATTGAACCTTTGCTGGCTTCTCAATAAATGAAGTTTTAACTTTAATCCACTCTTTTCCCAAACAGCAAAAGGATTCTTGTAGATAAACATCACATGTTATTATAAGTACATGAGTCATGTAAGAGGATGGTATTACGGGCTGGAGAGATGGCTCAGAAGTTAAGAGCACTGGCTGCTCTTCCAGAGGTCCTGAGTTCAATTCCAAGCAACCACATGGTGGCTCACAACCATCTATAATGAGATCTCGTGCCCTCTTCTGGAGGATATATATATATAGCCAGAACACTGTATATATAATAAATAAACTTAAAAAATGAGGACGATATTACATTTGTGGCATGATTGTGCCTTTCAAAAACTATTCATCTTAAGCTTATGCGGCACTGGGGAAATATGAAAGAATATGAAAGATGACATATTTGGGCTCACTGTTCTCTGAGCCAAAGGCTACTTAGCAGATGGAGGAAGAAGTGAGAAGACCCGAGAAGGCCCAGTTGATGTGTGTGTGTAGTCAACAGCCAGGCTTTGTTTAGAGGGACCGTGCTTGTCTTTGGTCAAGTAGACCCCAACCTGCCCTGTTTGGTAGAAAGAAGAATTCCTTTAGAAAAACAAAACCAAAACAACAAGAAGGAGGCAGGGAGGGAGAGTGAGGGGGGAAGGAAGGACGCCTGCCAGGGCTTAGGGGTGACCTAAGTTGGTGCAGTACTTGCCTAGCATACCAAGAAGCCTTGAGTTCCTGAGTTTGGTCCTCAGTACTACAAAGAGAACAGGAGGAAGAGGAAGAATTCTGTTCTAACAGGACTGGTTCGTAAGAATAACAACCAAGTAGTATCAATAGAGAATGATGTCCTACTTCCTGATTGTTTTTTTATGTTTGTAAACCGACTGGGATTCTAACTCACGCTGTCATAGGAGTCAAGAGTTTCCTTTCCAAATACATCCTGGTGTGCTGAGGAGGCAGAGGACTTAGCCAGTGTGTGCAAGGTCATAGACACAATCCCACAGTCCCCAGCGCCACGGGTGGGGGGGGGGAGGGAGGGAGGGAGACAGAGAGAGAGACAGAGAGACTGAGAGACCTATCATCAGCTGGATTTATTTTATCTTTAGTTTGTTAATGATTTTTCCTGTCTGTACTGTAGTTTGACCAAAATACCAATACACCGTGTGACCGACATTTGCCCAAGTAGATGAATCCTTCACATAAGCAGTAAGGGGGTACAGGGTAAAACTGTAAAATAGTTTTTATAATTGCATTTCTGTTAGTAGATGTTACTTTGATTTTATTTTGCTTTGCTTTGATATACAGCTTATGTAGCTCAGGCTAGCCTTGGATTGATTGTAGAGCCAAGGATGACCTTGCACTCCTGATTTTCCTGCCTCGACCTCCTAAGTGCTAGGTCACAGTTACAGGTCCCCAAGCTTGGCTTTGTGGAAAGGTTTTAAAAATTGTGTCTCTTTATGAACTAGCTCGGCTTTTTTTTTTTTTTTTCATTTTCCAACTTTTTCACAAAATAAAATTTCAAAGATCTCCATGACTCAAACTCTAGAACCAAATGTTACTTATTTACAGCCATATTAATACCTAGGTTTTCTCTTAATTGTTTAATTCATAAAAGTTGTTTTCAGGGGTTGGTGGCATGAGCCTGAAGGTTCCTGAAGAAATTCTAACTCATTTTTTTTATGTTTTTAAAAGTTTTGCAGTTTTTATTTCATGATACTAGGGATGTCAAATTGGCTACTTGTAGTGGCCAATGTTTGTAATCTCAAGCATTTAGGAGCCTAACTCATGAGGATCACAAGTTGGAGGCCAGTATCTCAAACTAACAAAAACAAACATGAACAGAAGTAAAGAGGGCAGGAGGAAGGAGAGTGATCTTAAGGTAGAGAGAGGTGAAAAAATCCAGTGATAGAGTGTGTGTGACGTGAGAGCAGGAGAGTCTGTTTGGGGGGAGGTGTCAGGAGGAGTGAGTATAGAGATGGACTAGAATAAAACCAAGTCTGATGACATATTATGTATGGAAAACACCATGATGACGGGCAGTGGTGGTGGCACTCCCCTTTGCTCCCAGACTTGGGAGGCAGAGGCAGGAAGGTATCTGATTTCGAGACCAGGCTGTCTACAGAGTGAGTTCCAGGACAGTCAGTCAGGGATACACAGAAAACAAAACAAAACAAAACAAAACAAAACAAAAAAACAAAAACAAAAACAAAAAAACCCTGTCTTGGAAGGAAAAAAAAAGAAGGAAGGAAAGAAGGAAGGAAGGAAGGAAGGAAGGAAGGAAGGAAGG